ACCAACGACATCCTGGCACTGAGATCCTCTCTTCCTTCAAGTCATGGGCGACTGGTGCCACCTTAGCCAGGGGGGGCATGTGCCCCCCCCCAAGCAACAAGTCAGCGACTTGGGGGGGTCCCCCTGCAGCCAATCTCACTGATGGGGTGGGGGGGGAGGGGGAGGGGAAGGAGTTCCCCCGCGGCTGATCGCGAAGCAGTCAATTGATCGCTTCCAGAAACGCCAGTCCCCGGTTAACGCTCACAGAGTGGGCACCAGCACTCCTGCCTGTCCCCACTGCCCGTTGCCTAAGCGGTGAGTGTGGCCAATCAGGGGGTGCAACGGCGCTCTCAGGGGGTGCATGTGCACCCCCTATATGTCACCACTGCTTCAATTTAACACAAATTAGATCTTGGCTGGAAACATTTATCAGCCCATAGACATTTTGGTTATTTCATAATTTTTTTCCCACCTCAAACTGGGGCAAGAAGACAAAAGTGTCTCGTAGGCAGGCAAAGTTCTTTGGGTAGATGTGATATATTTTATTAGACCAACTAAATAGTTGGAAAAGGTTATTTGAAAGCTTTCGGGCACAAACACCCTTCTTCAGGCACTGAGAGACTCTGCTGCTGTCCAGAAGCTTGCAAATATTTTTTTCCAACTATTTAGTTGGTCTAATAAAAGATAGCACATTTACCCAAAGAATCTTACCTGTCTATGTCCTTAGACCAACATGGCTACAGCCAACAACCCTGCAAAAGTGTCTTGTGGCTTTTTCAAAAGTACCAGCTAAAAAATCCAGAAAAATAGAGTTTGGATTAACTGAAATGTTTCACAATCATCAGAATAAAACATGTTATGCATGTTATTTTTTACTATTTATTTTTTTTTAAAGTATACAGTGATAATAACTTAAAATTGAAACTAAAACTTTTCATTTTAAAATTCTAAATTTTTTCCTAAAATGTGTTCATATAAAGAAATGGTTCAAAGCCAACCTAAAGAAATTTTCAGTTTTGAGAAATTGGCATATTTGTTGAAAAATATTTCCCTGAAAAATTCTCAACCAGTTTATTAAACACATACATTTCTTTCCAAATTGCATGAGTGTCTGTTCTTCCATGCCTTCTGATACTTTTATTTGGGCTTCAATTAATCTTTTCCTGGCATCTTTAAGTGTTTTCAGTGACTATTTGGAATATAACCCATGGTTCGAGGTTCTTGGAACTGCCCAAGCAGTAAATAAGAGCTCTTCATAACCCTGGCAAGGCAATGACAAGAAAACCCTTAAAAGTAAAAATCATAAAATGGCTTTAGGACTCAAATGCAGAGGACAGAGTTGCCAGGCATTCAGAAAGCTTCCCTGGCTACTCCACTGATTGCAAAAGCTTGATTAAAAAAAAAAAATCTTAAAAGCCAATTTGTGTGCTATTTTTAAATGGTTTAAGTGACTCCTTCATCAGTTTCTCAAAACATAACTAAAGGTGCTAACAATGATTTAGAATTAACCTGACTTCTTTCACAAAGTGATAGTTGTTTATAAATTACAAGATCATGACAGCATCAGAAGTCCTAGTATTTTCTAAGATACACCCAGAATCTTATTTACAGTTATCTTGTGGTCATTAAAAATGAATGTCTTCCTATTTGTCGCCTCTGTCATGTTGTGACCACATTTTATTAGCTCTGCTTAGTTACATGAGTTAGTGCACTTAAGAGTTCCTATGGGCACTTTATAATAATTGCTCTGTAGTTGCCTCAAAAACCTGGTATGGCAAGCTGTGCTCCGCTGAAGTGCCACTGAAACATCTGGGCTTTGAAGGGATACCAGATACTGTGCATTAGAGCACATGCATGACAGGAAGAGTGGACAGTAATCCAGTGCCAGGATCCTTACCCCTACTCTCCTTCTCTTTCCCCATCTCCTGTTTCTAATAGCCAATGAAGGGAAAAAATTAAAAAATATGCATGTTCTCTTCTTTATGGGTACATCTTTAAGGTAACCTTAGCTCAAGTTAAATAACATAAGATAACATCCTAATCTGTAATGTTAGGCTGCCACCAGATGTCACATTTAGGTTGGAAAAAAAACACTTTATCCTGGGACAAAAGTATAGTTGCACAGATGTCCATGTCTATTGTCCTGGGACACATCCCAGGAGAGTTTCCCAGATAAGCAGTAGTACCTTGTTATCTTGGGATGTTGCTAGGTATGTCTGTACAGTTATACTGGGATTGCATCATTGATTCAATGGCAGAAGAGCAACACAGCATTCAGTTGTTTCATAGTTTCACAGTAGCTAGGGTCAGGAGGGACCTGAACAGATCATCTAGCCTGACCCCCTG